ATGGCAGATTTCTTCACAAATTTCTTCAGTTCGTCCGATCCAGTACTAAATCCAGTTCGTACAGACGAACTGCACTAAAAAAAAAATCAGCTTTTTGAAGGGTTTTACAGGTGTTCTGCTTAACACCTTTATACGACTGGCATACTGGACAGCGTTCCACGAAACGGGCAACATTCCGTCCAAATGTGGCCAGAAGAAACGCAATTGTAATTGCTTGAGTGTCTTATCACGACCGACATGCGCAGCTAGGCCACCACAATGAATTTCCTGAATAATTTGTTGCCGCCATGACGAATCCGGATCACAAAGAGCACTTTGCTTGAACAAAAATCCGTGCCTGATAGAATATTGCCCAACTGAGTTATTTTCTAAGCATTCCGCCCAGATTTTCTGGAAATCCTTGTCCGTTGCGTAGAGTTCCTGCAAACATTGAAGACCCGTAATCTCGGTATTAAGTTGAGTTAAGAGAGTAAATTTACGGCTTAAGGCATCGGCAACCCTGTTTTCAGCTCCGGACTTGTGCTTGAGGACAAAGGTAAATCTTTGTAAGAATAGGATCCACCGTGCATGCATCCTATTGAGTGTCTTTTGATTATTAATATACTGCAATGCCTTATGATCACTGTGTAACACGAAATCCTGATGCAGTAAGTAATGTTCCCATTGTTTGAGGGCACGCACCACAGCATATAGCTCTTATTCGTATACAGTCCACTTCTGTCGAGCGGGGCAGAGTTTTTCACTAAAATACTCTATAGGTCTGTTCTGCTACATTAGAACGGCGCCAATCCCAGTAGCGGATGCATCTGTTTCAACCATGAAGGGTTTGTCGAAGTCTGGGAATGCCAGAACAGGTGTTGACGATAGTGCGTCTTTGACTGCTTCGAAACTCCTCTGTTGATCTTCCGCCCAGGTGAATTGTTTGGACTTCAGGCATTCGGTCAAAGGTGCAGCGAGGATACTGAAACCCTTGATGAACCTACGATAAAAATTTGCTAGGCCGTGGAAACTTCGTACGTCGAAGAAGGATTGAGGAGTGGGCCACTCAGAAATAGCCTTAATCTTCTTCGGATCCACTTGCACGCCACCTGCAGAAATTATAAAACCCAAGAAATACACAGTGCTAGTGACAAATTCGCACTTGGGTAAGTTCAAATACAACTTGTTAGCTTGTAGGATTTCAAATACTTGTTGCAGATGCTGTAAATGGGCAGCCAAGGACGAGCTGAATATCAAAATGTCGTCGAAATAGACGACGCAGGTCTTGTTCAAACATGGCTTCAGAATCTCATTCATGAGCCTCATAAAGGTCGAGGGCACATTACATAGCCCAAATGGCATGACTCGCCATTCATAAAGACCTTGACGCATTTTGAACGCGGTCTTCCACTAGTCACCCGGTCGGAGACGTATTTGGTGATACCTGCTGCGGAGGTCGAGCTTAGACAAAATAACTGCCCCGGACAGTTTCTCCAACAGTTCATCAATTCTGGATACTGGAAAACGGAATTTGACAGTTATCTTGTTGATGGCATGGCTGTCCATGCATATACGCCACGACCCATCCTTCTTGGGTTCTAATATTGCCGGAACGGCGCACGGGCTGAAGCTCGGCTGTATTAATTGCTTCTTCAGCAAGTCTTCTACCAGCTCTTGAAGAGTAGCATGATCTTTGGGACACATTCGGTAATGCGGCGCATTCGGCAGAGAAGCTCCCGGTATCAGATCAATTTGATGCTGAAGGACTCGGAGTGGAGGTAACTCGGCAGGCAAGGTTGTAGGAGCCACTTCCGCAAACCGCTTAAGTAGTTGTCTAACTTCATCGGGAATTTCATTGTGCTGTTTTGTTGTAGGTTGCTCATTTACAATGAATTCCAACAAAGTATGTATCTCCTGGCTCGCGTGAATGAGGGCTGATCCAGAGACTAATTGCATAATAGCAGGTTTGGTGCCCGATGGCTCAGCTCTGTTAGTGACGTATGGCATCAATTTGAGGCGTCTACCTTTCCACTCCAATGAATAAGAATTTGATCTCCCGTCATAGATTGCACCAACATCGAATTGCCATGGACGCCCCAAAATGATGTGGCAGACATCCATATCAAGGATGTCGCACAACACCTCGCATATATAATGCTTACCGATGGAAAAAGTGACTCGACACATTTTCGAAACTGAGATGTCCATTCCTTTTTTGACCCAGCCAATCTTGTAGGGATTAGGATTTTTAGTAGTTTTGAGCTGAAGAGCCTGGACGACTGAGCGAGCGATGACATTTTCTGTGCACCGACTATCAATTAATATATCATATACCTTTCCCTTGATCGTGCATCTGGTTTTGAAAACAGCATTGCTGTGATGCCCCAGAATCAAATAGTGAAAGGATTCGTC